GTGTGTGTGTTTTGAACATTGCGCGTTGGGTGAAAAACTGTGTCTTGGATACTATATGTACTCTCAAATTTTACTCCCTCATTTGTACTCCCTAAGGTGGCAAACTAGAATTCGTTTTTTTTAACATGTGGGTCCACAGAAAATTGTCAACATCAAGAACATGTGAGAGGGAGTATAAGTTGGGAGTATAAGATGGGAGTGGCATTGGTGTGGGAGTACAAGAGGGGTTTTGTGGCATTGGTGTGTAGGAATCTTTTGTAGAGTAATTAATACGGAGTACTACTTTACACATACACTACATCTACCATCTATCTAACTTACCATGCCATGTGTCCACATATAGACCGGTGCATTAATGGAACAAAATTCATATGATTTTCCTTTTTAAAAAATAATTAAAGCTAAATATGCTGCATTCTATAGAAATTCATCATATGAGTTAACTCTGTATATTATTATACTATATACCAATAATTTTTTATGAGTATAAAATAATGTGTTTGGAAAAATTTAATTGAGATTATTATTATTTTAAACACAAAAGTACAATTATATCCCAAATTATATTTTTCAATAATAAAATACTTTCTCTTTTCTGTGTAACATATGCCAAAATGGCGCCTTGGAGACAATTTTGCGCCATTTCTTCCACCGCATTTTAAACAACATCCCATCTTAAGCAAATACTTATCACACAAACTAAGATAAGACTTGATCTTAAGTTAGCAGCAGAAAAGGCATTATGAATAGAAATGGTATTTGGTTTAGGGATTTGATGGGAGGTCTACAAAGAGGAGAAGAAAAGAATTTAGTTTAAAATTTTGTGTTGCTACTAGCTTTAATTAATTTGCTATTGAATGCCACCTATAAGCTATAATTATCCAATCAAATAAATGGAATGAATTTCCCCACCAAAAAAAAAAAAATGGAGTGAATTTGACGTATGAACTATGAAGTTCTCCCATTAATTAACAGTGAAGTTTACGTTTGAATTGAAAATGCATATTCAGTTCTACCACTTCTACTTACGTTTTGAAACAAAGCATAATAAGGAAGTCCAATAAAGATTAATCAATCTTGGAATATCGGCCACTGAACGTAACCTGAAAATGAAATTAGGTCATTGAACGAAATAAAAAATGCAATTAAACCACTGAACACTTCAAATATATGCAATTTCACTTGATAGCAGGTTACCATCAATTTTAACAGTTACATACTTACGTGGCAATTGAGTTGACATTTTTAATAATTTTTTTAAAATTTTTTTTTTTTTTTAAAAGGACGGGGTGACCGTCGACCACCCTCTTCCCCCACCCCCCTCTTCTTTCGTATCCGGTAGAGACGAAGGAGGGGGAAGGGGGTGGCCCGTCGTTTTATTTATTTATTTATTTTCAATTTTTAAAAAAATTATTATTAAAATTTATTAAAAATGCCAACTCAGCTATCACGTAAGCAGGTAACCTGCTATCCGGTGAAATTGCACACATTTAGAGTGTTCAGTGATCTAATTATATATTTTTTGAGTGTTCAATGACCTAATTACACTCTTTTTTCGTTCAATGACCTAATTATATTTTCATATTACGTTCAGTGACCAATTTGAACCCTATTCCATCAATCTTTTCTTATTCATGTATGTGGAAAAGTCATTCACGTTGTGTGACCATCCTCTCTCATCATAGAAGCAGCTACGTACTATCCATCAAGTACTTGCTCTCTAATCGGAGTACTATTCATTGGTATTGCCGTCCTTCAACAAGTTCCCATAAACCTTCAAAAATTTTACAATTTTCCTGCCTGGGGAAGTGTATTTATGACATCTCACCTCTTGATCTAAATAAATGTATAACTTGAAATTGTGCTATTATTTTACCCCATCCTTGCTAAGAGCATTCACATTTGTGGATAATAGGGAGATATTTCAGAATGAATTCTCCCCACTCAAGATAATAACTAATGTGGGGAAGAGATAATGTGAGAAATAATTGGTCTGCAAATGAAGAGATAATGCAGAAATGATGTGACAAGAGAGAAAAATTTCTTTTGCTTTGGTTTTTAGCTTACATGGATAGCAAGAGAAGAGTAAAATTGATAATTTAGCAAGTGGAGAGAGAAGCATTTTTGCTGCCATTCCTGCCAACAATTTCACTTTTTCACTTTTTGTTTTTTGTTTTTTGTTTTTTTTTTTTTAATTTCTTTTAATATTATTTTATTATTATATTTATAATATAATACGAAAGTGGGATCATTTTAGAAAGTGAGAGAATATTACAGGGATGTAGAATAAATAGTAGATAATTTATAAATTTGATGATGCGAAAGTCAGACCCATTTTAAAAAGTGAGAAATTTTTAGGATAAAGATAGCCTAAGAGCAACCCAGGGGATTATATATGGATTTTTGGTATATTTTATCTGTCTTATTATTATTATTTTTTTTAATTTGTTCTAAGATAGTGTCATCTTTCTATAATTAAACATATATAACTATCACTCTACATTTTCCAATTTACTCTTTTGACTTTTCAAATTTCTAGAGGTAAGTATCATTGTACTTTGTACAAATAACACATACTTTATAGGACAAAATTGAAAAGTTAGTAATATTTGTTATGTTGTATTAAAAATTGTGCAAAAAACAAATGAGACAATCAATTACGGACTGGGGAGTATAATACTTGCGCTGTTGCGCACTGTATGAACAATTTTGAAAAATGAAAATTATCTATAGTTTGTTATTGTAGATTTTAACAAATTAAATTTTATTATTTCATGCATGCGTAGTGTATTTTTTTTGTATACTCATGCGTAGTGTTAAGTGTATAGTGTTTAATTAATTTGGAAGACTCAAATTTTTGTAAAAAGGATGTATTTAACATTCAAAATATACATTCAAAAAAAAAAAAACATTCAAAATATAAATGACAGAATACGCATGAAAAGGTGTATTAGCAGATGAAAATATTAGCTATGTTGAATTCAAGTTCTTCAAAAAATAAGCCAATTTTGACTTATTTGACCACTATTAATTGTTTGATTTAGTTAAAATATTAATATAAATGTTTGGTTAATTAGTTTTTTGCAACTCCAAAAGGTTAAAATTCAAAAAGCTACTCTAAGCAACTTTTTCAATTAGCTTTTTGAGAAAAGAAATTATACCAAACAGCTATCACCTAACAGCTAATTTACCAAACACTTTTCTACAATCAGCTAATGTTATCAACAATTTATACTCTCTAATTAACACAATCAACTAACAGTTAACAGCTATCAGCTAACAGCCATTTTACCAAACAGGGCATAAATATTTTATTCCTAATATAAGTATTACATTT